GCAGATCCTCTCCTCTCTCCCACCTGTCACCAGCAGGGGTCCTGTTGTTGCTGCCAGAATTTGCTGGCTAGAAAAGCAGCAACAGTCCTGTATCTCCAGAGTATGTCAAGTCTTCTCCTTTCACCAAGCCAGCCCAGAGCTTGATTTACATCCATGAGTGTAAAGATGCTGTCTGCCCCATGGGCTAGGACAAAATTGTCCAAGGAAAAGCAAGAAAAAGGAAAGTGAGTGTTCTCCAGGGAGGCCTGGAATCATGGGTGGAGCGTGATTTTTCAACTGATCAGAAAGGAAGCTTTGGGTCTTTAGACCTTATTGTGGTAAGGTCTAGTGCAGTAATAGTTTTCCATGCAAAGCTGTAGTCATTTGACAGCTTTACCATCTGATGTGATGGAGTGACACAGAGAAGATGGAGCAGGACTGAGAAGAGATGCATGATGATAGGACAGGAAGCGATAGACACAAGTTGGAAAATGAGAAATATGGATTAGACATTAGGAATATTTTTTTACCATAAGGATGGTTAAATACTGGAATAGGTTGCCAAGAGAAATTGTGAAACCTCTGTCTTCAGAGCAGGTCGCAGCTAGACAGGGCCTTGGGCAACCTGATTTAATTAGACCAGTTTTGAACATGGGAGTCAGACTAGATAATCTGTGGAGGTCCTCTCCATCTGCAATTATGAGTCTCTGATTCCACTGTTCTATGGTGACACAGTCACTGAAGCTGCTGTACTTCATCTTCCTTTCCTTTCTTTGATAGCCTGAAATGTCAAACAATAACAGCATATCATCAAGTTCCATATAGAGCCATGTGCTTCTGAGCCCGCACCGGGAACACACAAGCATCAGTGTGGTTCCAGTGTGCCGTTGTAGAGCAATACAAGGTCCAGGCTCCTTCTCCATCTTGCTTTCTGCCAATCATGAGTCCCACAAGCAAAACAGTATGCAGTGTGGTACCTAAGCCTGCCTTAGAGTCAGATTGTCAGCTAGTGTCATTCAGCAGAACTTTAAGCCAACAGTATCACAGGTCAGCACCGTCATGAGGGAGGCCCTCATATCTGGACCTGTTCCCTCAAATACCACTGCTCCACTCTTCCAGGGTTGCAAATACTCCCCACGTCAAGGTGGTATTACCAGGCAGCTAGCTGCTCACCAATGAGTTTTGGATGTTATTGGAAAAACATTTGCTCTGAATCTGGAAAACCTGATGGCCGTTCTCTGTCTCTCTTCTATCCTCTGTCCTATTCTTCGGAGTTGTTTTGTGCTGCTTAGCTGATAGCTGTGCTTTCATGTGTCCTTTTGGTCACCTTTGTGTTTGTGTGTTGGCTTGCAGTGCCCACCTTCCTAAATACCATCTAGTTGGAATACTCTGGTCTTGTAGGCATTGAGAAGCTGTTTGGGGAGGAAAGGGCTGTCATTTAGGCTGTTTGTGGAGACCAAAGGCTGCTCTGCATTCCCCCTGGGAAAATCACAGAAGCACTGAAGAAGAGGGAGAGCATGACCTTGGCAGCAAACAACAGGCAGAGACGCCAGTTACATGCTCCTTGTCTAAGCTAAGGATGCCAGTGGGAAATGTGGATTGAGGGGAATTGGAATTGCCCATTTAGAGTTCTTTGGTCTTGGTCTTTACACTTCGGGGACGCCAGCAGGAGGATGTTTGTGCTTTCCATGTCATAGTGAGTGAAATCGGGGTCCTTTCCTCTCCTTCTCCATCCATCTGAGCATCTCTCAGTGCTGGAACAGCTCCCCCTACCCCTGACACAGCCCTGAACAATCCAAATCTCTCAATGGAGGAAATTACAGTTATTTATAATGAAGGGTTGACAAAAAATGTTGCTAGTGTCAAGGGAATGGCAGGCGACAGCCAGAAAAACATCATGTCTCCAGAACAGGGGCAGCGGGAATATCCCTCTGAATAGGGCTGATGTCAGCTTCTGGAATTTGGACAGCCTAGAAGCATTTGGGGCTATTTTTCCAAGATATCATAGGTCAGGAATCAACGTTATTTTTAAGTCTGTGTTCCCCAAGCAGCTCTGGTGCATGAAGGAGACTTTCTCTTCCCCTTCCCCCTCCTTTACACTCTATTTCTATGAAATTTTTGCTTCTCTTCCTTCCAAGTCATGCCACAAATATGTCCTTCAGGTTTATTTATTCTTCTCGCTATCTATTCCTCCCGGCCTGCTCCCGTCTTGGTTGGGTTGAAAGGATGGCGTCAGCATGTCGCGTGTCTGGGATGCTCAGGCGAGACATCACAGAGAAGAGATCGTGTTCTCCCAATTTGCTGTTTCCGGTTGGGAGAGTTTTCTCTCTGCAAGTTGATGTGGCCGGGGAAAGTGTTCTGGGAACGCTGCTTTGTGGTGGGAGATCTTGGGGCCTGGTGAAGACAAGCTGGTCATCTCATCTCACCATTAAATGCTGCCATATAGTCCAGCCAAGATTTTCTAAAGTGACTGGAGTTTCAGAGCTGCTTTGTCACTGGGAAGGTGGGTAAGATGTCTCCAGCCCAGGATGGCCTATTGGGGCTGGCTGGTAAGGGAGAAGTACTCAGCAGATCCTGATTATCTGACACCTCCCAAATCAGCAGCAGCTTCTGAAAGTCTCTGCTATTTCAGATCCAGGGAAGTGGCCACCCTTGGGTTTACCAAGCTCTGCTCCACATGCCGTCCTGCTCCAGTCTACTTCTGGAATCCTGTTCCTCTATTTTTTCACTTTTTCCTCCTTCTCTTCCATTTGCTGTAGCAACCTCTCTCTTTCTAAACAAGTCTGTTGGTATAATAACCTGACTAGGGATCTTGCCATCTCAAACAGTGTATTTGCACATCTTGTTGGTTTCCCTTCTCATTTCACATCTCTGATGAGAACATGGCCTTTTCCCCTTAGTCCATGCTCAGCTTTTTGTGCTCTTTTCCGTAAGTCAATGTGGTAAGGAATGCGCTAATGGATACCACTTTTACAGAAGCTGCTCGTTCAAATATAGCTGCTGTGCCTTCATGGCTAGTCCAGTGTAAAGAAATGATTGCATTCCCTTCATAATTTCTCTGTGCAGCTCAAAGATGCCAATTGCTCCTGGAAGCATGGGAATAAAGTGAAATGCGTTCCACCACCTTAATGTTGCTGTTGGCTTTATGCTGCAGGTTTAGTCATTCTTGTGACATATTTCCACAATGGTGCATTTCCATCGTCATTCCACAGTGATGTATTTGAAGCCTTTCCATGAGTTTTTTTCCTGCTTAGAATCTCTTAAATTAATGACTTAGTAAACCGCAGGTCAGGGTCCTCAGATTTTGAAGAACTGGCAACAAGACTAGAGACTTAAACATCTTCTAGGCCTACCTGTCCTAATGCTGTCTCAACCCCTGAGGTTAATGGCACTTATGGTGAAAATGGTAGTACTTGATTTAAAAGTGTATCTGGCATTTGCAGCATAGCCCAAGGCCCTACAATCCTGCTGCTATTATTATTGGAATTACTATTGTTATTATTAAGTTAGATCCTGATCTTTTTACGCAGCTGAGGACATAAATTCCTAAAGATCAACACCGGGACTGTTGGTGTACCGGTGAATTCAATATAGACCTCTGACCTGTGCAGAAAAAAACAGGCAGAGGGGAGAGTGAAATCTAAATCTCCTGACTGTTTGTTTTTTTTTTTGTCCAAGTGCTGAGACACATGCCACACTGTGAGGATCATTTTGTGGACGCCCAGACATACCCGCGGGTGTTATTGCCCTGCTGCGATGCCTATTGCCTGCCCACCTCTTCCAGCCCATTACCTTCCTATGCTCTTTAGAAATGGATGTCTTGGATATCCCCATTCCAGTATTTTATCTTCTCCTGCAATTCTTTATTCCCATCTCTGGACATGGGAGGAGAAACAGCCAGCACTGTTGTCAGGAGGCTTTCTCCACTAAATATGCCCTCTGATGGATCTGTCTCCAGAGATGTCCCTCTCTCCCCATTAAGCTTACTTTGAGAGCTCCTGTGCTTCCCTGCCCTGGCTCCTGCACACATGCCAGACCTCCTCTCAGAGTGGATTTAGGTCATGTGCAGAGAGACAGACTCATGTGAAGAAGGGCCCTGCTGTTGGCTCAGTGCTGGGGGGGACCCGGTGAAACCAGCCCTCTTCTCCAAGGCTGGTTTTGAGGAGAGCTGGAAGAGACATTTATTGGAGCAAATTCTGAGATACCTTTTGCTCATGCTCTTCCTTATACAATATACAGAGTTGGGGGTGAGTTAGCATGTTTCATGGTGTGTTATGTGCCTGTGCTCTGCAGGGACCCCTTACCATGCACTGCCACCTCTGGCATACTGGTTGTCCTGGGGAAAAGAATAGAGTGGAGGGCCATGGTTGTGAGCTTCTCCAGACAGACTAGAGAAGCTTGAGAATAAAATTCTTGGCCCCAGCTGGCAAACCCTCTCTGCTCCCAAAAATAAGGTTTGATATCCTTTCCTGCCCTGACCTGTATCAGGGACAACCACTGAAAACCCTTATTGGAACCAGCTGGAGTTCTGGATTCCTTTCTCTCTCCTCATACCTTGAGGAAAACTCACTTCCCTCTCCCCCACCTCTTTTCCCTAGCAGGACTGACCTCTGCATTTCCTTTCTTCTCTCATTGTTTCTTCTCCCATTTTGTCTCTTTTTATCCTATTCTCTGTGGTCTCCTCTGTCCCTGTTGTCGGAAAACCTTCTCCAAGAGTAGAACTCATCAACAAAGCTTCTGTAATTAGCAAAGTTTTTCAGATTTGTATGACTGCCTCCCACCCAAACCCCTCACTAGCAGAACTTCCACCTTACAGAGCAGAATTAGTAATGTCATGGGAAATCCTGTTGAAACTTGATGAATTTTGCCATGCTTTACCAAATACTGTTGGTTTCAGAGAGTTGAGGATGGGGTCTCCAGGTCTGCTGCACACTTTCCAGGATATCTATGGGTGGCTCCTGCTTTTTGTCTTTACTCTGTTGAAGTCTATGCTGACTACCTCCTTTCCCTTGTCCTTGCAGTGCATACATGAGTGTGAAGGAGCTGAAGGAGGCACTGCAGCTGAACAGCACCCACTTCCTCAATGTTTACTTTGCCAGTTCGGTGAGGGAAGAATTGGCTGGTGCTGCCACTTGGCCATGGGATAAAGAGGCCCTTAGTCACCTGGGTAAGTAAGATACCCCTCTCATGGGCTCTCAGGGTTGTTGGTTTTCCTCTCTCTCAGTTGACTTTGCAGAAAGAGGCAGCCATGATTTGGCTCAACATTGAGGATTTTTAATAAGAAGGTCATGATAACAAGCCTTGGACGTACCAATAGCTGCTGCTGTAAGGAAAGGATCTGCCTGTTCCCTGTGTCCATGTGGATAAGGTGGTGGGGTTACACCCTGACAAGGGACTTCCAGGTTGTTATGGGAGAGTATTAATGGTGAAGGTAGTGAGATAGTGGGACAGAGAGCTTGAGGTTCACCACCAATGCAGGCTCTACAGAGGGGTTTAGACTTGGATTGGTTTCTCTGAGACTTTCGAGGTCTATCTTCCAGGAAATAGTGAACTTCACTTTGCAGCACGTAATGACAAACAGACAAACCAGTGTGGGAGCTGCATGAGGACACTGACACGATCGATGTGATCTAACAAGTGAACCTTTATTTCCGTGTTTCCAGTGCAATTTATAACCCTCGACCACACCCAATAAATACTGATTGGCTTCATCGCAAATAACGGCCCATAGTCCAACCTGATTGGCCACATTGCGAGTCATGTTCAAGTCACATTCACAAATGTTCACACCCATCTTCTTCAAGAAATTGAAACTGCGTCATTAATGGTGGCTGTCTCTTCTCCTGCACCTGTAAGATGTTCATGCCCCCTGCACCGGAAGTTGTTTATGCTTTCAGCAGTTCCGGTACGTCCCAGCTCAGATTCTCTGGAAAGGCTGGATTGTTCACATGTCCCTTATTTCGTAAATATCCTTCCACAAACCAGGATTGTCAGTGATTTCAGAGCCAAGACTCCAGATTTGAGTGACTCCAGAGCTGACTAGACAGCCACTTCTGAATCCAGCTGCAAATGTGAGGGTGGCTATCAAATTAAACCATGTTTTTATAACTTGGCTTACTACCTGCTGGAGGCAAGGTTCTCCTTGTCTTCAGTGAATTCCCAGAAGACCCTTAAGGTCATCAGCCCTGGTAGGTTACAAAACAGTCAAAACAGCAACTGCTTCACTAGAATGTAAACGTATTCTGTGTTTTCTCCTATTTCTGCTGTCTCTCTTTTTCCTGCCTCTCTCTCCACCTCTTCAATGTCAGAGTTTTCTGGCAAAGCCCTTTACACTTTGCAGTCAAAACATCTTAAGTGTTTCTCAATAAGTAACTGGAAATAATCACTCCTGACACCTGCACAGCAGACCTAGACCTTCTGGTTTTACAACTGTGTGATGTTCAAACCTTGAAAGTTTTATACTACTGTTAAAGACCTGCTTTAAAGTTCTTTTTGCCAGCTTCCCTCTCTCAATGAGTTTCAGGACTGTTTCTCAATAGCATATTGCTACATTTCCTTGTTGAGGAAGGCAAATCTCCATGAAATGTATTCCTTCAGCTTCCAGAAATCACTTCCAAGGCTCAGTTTGACAGTCATCTTACTAGAGCAAGTGCTTCAGCCACACATGTTCTCTTCAGACCCCTCCCAATGGCTCGCAAGGAGTTGTACACAGGGGTAATCAGGGTGACTGATTTCATCAAAAGCTTGCATTTAGTTCAGGTCTCAGATTTTGTGTCCAGTCAGGGACACAGGAGGTGGCACCACCTGGAAAGGTTGGATCAGGGTTTTACTACAGAGGTTCAGGGAAAAGGGGCGTTGTCTTGGCTCTGGCACCAGAGCTGTGAAGTATGAAGCTGGTTCTGAACTTCTTTGAGGGTCTGGCACAGACTGAAAACTGGTTCAAGACTGTCCTTGGTTTTAGATTTAATAACCTTGGGAGGGCAGGTGGAGGACTCTGTTCTCTGTAATCAGTAGGCTCCAACACATCATCAAGTGTTTTGTACTATGCACAATTGTATTATTGTCCAGCACAGAAGAAACTTAGGACTGAGCAGGTCATGAATAAATGGCTTTTGACAAAACCTCTCACAAGAGGCTACTGGATAATCTCAGTAGATGTGAAGGTAAAGCAGTGAGGAAAAAGCAAGGAAAACCTTGGGAGGAGTGAACAGTACTTTGAGAAAAAATTCTGAGCTTTAAGGACGTAAAAGCAACCAGGGGTGGAGATAGGTCTTCATGTATGAGAGAGGTCTGTCTCCAAGGAGACAGACTCCTTCACTTGCACTGAACCTTGCTAATCTCCTGTCTATCCTAACCTTAAAATATTAAGGTCAGCACACAGGCCCTGCTCCCCTCATGCCATTGTCTGCT